GTAAAGAGGACAATGGCAGTTGTTATTAGGGGTACCTTCCTGCTGTGCCAAAGCGCACACAGCAATTTTGAATCATCAGTCCTAAGATCATGAGAGCAAAGGCCGTAGCCAAACGAAATGGGTGGAGATCACATGCAACAATCTTGGAATTAGCTGATAGGACAGAGGAAGCCCTGGCCCTTCTGCAGATGGACCGCCTTTCTCCTTTACACAGTGAAAAGCTTCCTGCTTAAAATGCAGTATCGGAAAAGGGCTTCCTTTTCTCAAAGACACAAATAAGGCCAGTTTTTAAACATAGCATTGGAAGATCATATACTATTTCCTTATATATCATTTGTACACTTAAAATATATGCATTGGATGCTACATGCGAGATATAATTTTCAAAAAGATGTTTTGCAGAAATGTCAGCAAAAAGCTGTCAAAAATCTTCAGGTGCTGCAAACTAAAGCAAACTTCACTTCAAATATATTCACTGAGAGTGGAAATGGACTGAAGCAGCGGCAAAAGGCAAAAGCCTGCTCTGACGTATGCTACTGTTTTTACCCCCAGGACGCGAAGTACTTTCCTATATGGTTTCCTAGCTTCACTCTGGTAGATGAAGCCTAAACCATTACGCAATTGTTTTTGACGCTGTTCACATAACTCAACTATACGGGCTGGAGAGATGAGCCAGAGGTTAAAACCACTAGCTGCTCTTCCAAAAACCCAGTTTCAACTCCCAGCACGCACATGGAGCTCACATGTGTCTGTAACTTCTTCCAGGGGGTCTGATGGCCTCCTTTGGTCTGCATGGGCACAAGACACAAGAGCGCTGCAGAGACATAACATGAGGCAAACCACCTCCACACGTAGATGTAAACATTTCAAAGAAAGAAAATGCCCCACATGCTCACCCACAGGCCAATCTGATGGAGGCCCTTTCTCAACAGAGGCTCACTCTTCCCAACTGACTCAAGTTGACAAAAAGCTAAACACAGTGGCACTGCCATTGCTAAGGTTCTCATCAAGGGCAGCAGCGACACTCTGCCACTTCTCCAGAAGCCACAAGAACTTCCATCAAATACTCAGTGTGCATGTGTGTGCCAGCAGTCAGTTCTCCCTTTTCACCGTGCGCCTGGATCCTGGGATTGAACTCAGGCTGGCAGGCTTGGTGGCAAGCACCTTTCTCCACTCAGTGAGCCCTAAATCATTACTTCTTTGTTGATCCATGGAATTGTCCTTATTACAGCCAGTCACGGATGCTCTAAACTTCTCACAGCCAATCAGAAAGACTCAGCCCCAGACATCCTAAGGTGTCTTACTATGGCCACAGAAAGTACAGTAACAGCTACAGCAGAAGCCACTGCTTCTGTTTCAACAGCTTCTCTATTAGCTACTGCCTCAGAGACTGTTTCAGCCACAATCATTCCAAATGGGCTGCCAGGCCCCTAGGAAGCTTTGCCCCCCCACCCCACCCCTTGTAAAAACTTTTACTTCCCCCCTGTACCTCCATGACTCACAACACACAGGACAGGCAAACCAAGTAGTCCTGTGCAGCCTAGTATGAGCACGCAGAAAGTGTAGGGTTCGCAGACAGAACTAAGACTGCATGCATGGCTGGCTATAGAAGCTGCCTTGCCCTGAAACGGTTCGGTCCGGGAGACACGTCTTGTGTGCACGGCCTCCCTGTGCTGTATAACAGCCCCAGTAAGACTAAGTTCTGTGGCCTGACTGGTTTGATTGACTACTCATGATCTTTTACTGCAGTTGGAGGAGGCTGAGCTGGTTGCATGAAGAGCAGAGAACACTAGAGGGCTATTAGCTCTAAGCACACCCATCAGCTAGAGTGGATGAGCCCTGGAGAGCAGCCAGGACAGAGACCAGAGAAGGCGAAGGACTACCAAGAGCTGAGACTGTGGAAGGTGAAGGAGCAGGACTACAAACTGAGCAGCGAAGGGCTGCAGCTGGCGGGAGGGCTGTGACGATGCTACAGGACGTGGCTGCTGGGGAGGCACGGAGGGCCAGGGAGCCGAGCTGCCAGCACTCGGGCTGCAGTACCACTGAAAGCTGGAACACTAAGAGCTAGTACTCAACACTTGGAGCTGCTAACGCTAAACAAACGTCACTTTGCCTACTCCTGATTTCTACCCAACTGATCGGCAAACCCCTGGCCCACTGGTGACTACCACTGATTTACTCCTCCAGCCCAGGTTTCTAATCTCCCCAAACGTTTGTGTGTTTATGCATGGGAAAGCCAGTGGGCAACCTGGGAAACAGTCACTAGCTCTTTCCCCGGCCCCAGGTAGGGCCTCTTACTGCTCTGGAACTCATCGACTAGGTCAGGCTGACTGGTGAGCAAGTTCAAAAGATCCACCTGCCTCTGCCTCCCGAGCACTAGGATTCTAGACATGTCACAGGCTGAGCTGCCTTTAAAACCAACCAACCAACCAACATGGGTCCTAGAGATCAAATGCAGGCCCTCACGCTTGCAAGGCAAGGGTTTTACCTAATGAGCCATCTCCCCAGCCTTTTCAAAAACATTATTTTTAAAATAATTACTTTATACTGGAAAGATGACTATAACAAAAATGGGTACAAACCCAAATTATTTGGTACTTACAATGATTTAATGGGAAAAAAAAAACCCAACATTTAAGACTGAAGCTGCTAGTAAGTCCTGAATAAATAAACTTACGTGAAAACAAATTAAGTTCCATCATTTGCCAAAAGTACATAACAAAACTTTCTAAACTATACACCAGGAATTTGAGTGAGGTTTCTTGTTTTAGGGGCTTTCAGACAGGGTTTCACTGTGCCCACAATAGCCTGCAACTCCTATGTACAGCAGGCTGGCCTCAGACTCAAGCAATCCCCTGACTCCTTGTCCCAGGTACTGAGATGACAGCTGTGAGCCGTCATGCCAGGCTTGGAAGTAATCCATTGTAGAATAACAAAAGAAATTTAAAAAATCAATATTCTACATATTTAGGACCCATTTAACGGTCCAAATAAAAAACAGTTTAACGGACAGAACACAGCACACAGAAGGGTACCAAGCCTCCATACACACGTGAAAGGAGAGAAACTGCTATTCTCTTGAGACTGTGGAAGCTGCAGCTTGTGTATTGTGTGAGGGTTTTGAAGCTGTTTGCAATTGACTTCTATGAATCAAAGAACACCCATAACAACTTTAATTAGCACCTCAATATATTCTTAGAAATAATTTCTCAGATGAGAGAGACAGTAAGTGTGCCAGTGATTTAGAGGAGTGGTGCTCCTAACTACTAAACATACTCCACTATCGACATCATCAAAAGTACAACACTCAAATGCACGGCAGACTTCTTAGTTTTTAAGGTAGTAGGAAACCACCACGACAAATACTGAAATTATAAGCATAATCATATACCTAGAGCCAGTTTCATTAGAATTAAGGCATTTACTAACAACTTAGTCTCCTTAGCAGCATAATGTCATAATACCTAAGCAATAAATCTAGATACTATTCTTTCCTTTGTGTACCTTAAAAGCAGGGGGAAAAAATCACTTGTTTCATTTTATGTTCTTTTTTTAACATTTTGAGGCCCTTTAAATTTTTCATTTAAAATATACGTGTATGTACATAGATGAGTGCATCTATTTCTCTACGGTTTAACTCAATCCTAGGAGTCTTCCTCCATGACTCTACGTGTAAGGCCGAGCAGTGTGCCTGTGTTTGGCTAACACACTCATTCAATTACTTTGTAATACCACTCTACTGTACAATCACAACAAAGCCCCTGCCCCTCTACCTGAGACCCAGGCAGGTAACTGACCCAAGTAACTATTTGTCACCAACATGAGAATTCTCTCCCTCCAAAGACTAAGTATGCAGATTTGCGAGACAAATCCTGTAGTATTCCTGAAAGAAAGTTATAGTAGACAAAGGCAAAAGGCCAAGTCCTTCTTTCCAAATTCTATTCTGACATCCAATTTAGCAGTGCAGGAGCAAGGAACGGTATACACTAGGAAGATGCCATCCTCTTCACTGGTGAGATAATTAGAAAACTATCTCTTGGTACTGATTGGAGGTAATACCGAATTGCCTAAGAGTGGCACAGTAGTTTGCTTTCTCAGAAGGGAACATGGAAATCTGTAAATATGGGACTTTCTCATTGGCTCACACATGAATAATCTATGAGAGGTAATAAACCTGAGTCCGAAAGACGTCCACTGACTACTCAGCTACAAAGTCCAGTCATGTAGAGCCGAAAGACCAAGTTCTGAGAAAGACAATGATAATGTTCATACTAAATTATATTAACCTATAATTTAACTAACTCCTGGCAAAACTATCCTATTTTGAGTGCCTACCTTTGAAACTAGAAAATGTGTTCAAATAGGTGTTTCTCCATTTTGTAGGAAGTCTCTCTAGAGTCTCAGACTTGATATCTTGGTATCTCCAGGGATTTCCAAGTCTGTCCTTTGTTTTTGTTTTCATTTTTTTTATGAGACAGTTTCTGTGTGTAGCCCTGGCTGTCCTGGAACTCACTCTGTAGACCAGGCTGGCCTCAAACTCAGAGATCCACTTGTCTCTGGCCCCCGAGTGCTGGAATTAAAGGCACATGCCACCACTGCCCAGCTTTCAAGTCTGCCTTTCTAACTTCACTACCAACGATTACTGGACACATATTGGACATGCTTTGACTATGAGCCCGAGTGTTGGAAGTGTGATCCTAGTATGGTACTGTTGGGAAGTGGTGTGGACTGCCAAGAGGTGACCCTAGTAAAAGAGATCCTTAGGTGGCGCATGCCTTTAATCCCAGCACTCAGGAGGCAGAGGCAGGCAGATCTCTGTGAATTCAAGGCCAGCCTGGTCTACATGGCGAGTTCCAGGACAGCCAGGGCTGTTACACAGAGAAACCCTGTCTAAAAAAAGAAAAAGAAAAAAGAAAAAAAGACTGCCTCAAACAGAGGTACTGAGGTGCTAAAGATGTAATTCAGTTAGCAGAGTACTTGTCAAACATTTTTCTTCCTTTCAGGGGAGAGTGAGAACAAGTCCCCCACTACCACAAAGTATGCAGTCCACTTTCCCACATTTGGGGAACTCACAGGGGTCAGCACATCTGGAGTGCAATGGATAAGTCTCCCTAGGAAAACCATCTTCATGATCATGGTATCTCCCCTGCCAGGTAAGTATTGCCTACTATTCTCAAAGCCTTTGGTTTGATCCCCAGCCCTATACAAAACCACAAGTAGTAACACCTATACTCCCAGCAGCTGTAAAGAAGAACTAGAAGTTCACAGTCATCCTCCTCTACACAGTGAGTTCAAGGCCAGGCTGGGCTACAAGAGATCATATCTCAACCAAACAAAACGTATAAATAAATGCTACCCAGGCTCAGTCTCGATAGTCTTTGACTACTACAACTTGCTTTCAAGTGTCTCCCGACAGCAATGAAAACAAACTACTAATAGGCCTTGAATTAGCTTTAACAAGTGAAGACAAGTATCACCCCAGATGGAGTAGATGGGACAGGCCATACACATGCATTGGGTTCAATAATCAACAAAGCAACCACGCTTTGAAGAGACATTTCTCCAAAAAAGATATATTGACAAACAGAAGAGATGGTCACTCAATGAGCCGTCAGGGAAAGGCAAATTATGATCACAGTGAGATACTACAAGCCTGGTGGTACGGATCTGTAAACCCAGCTATTTTGGAGGCTGAGGCAGAAGGAGCCTAAATTGAAGGCCAACCTAAGCAACTATCAAAATCCTGGTTTTTAAAAAAAGGCTAAGGATACAGCTTAGTGATTGAGCAAGGCCACAGTTTCAAAGCCCCACCTCTGAGCACGGCTGTACTGGGGAAAGCCTTCAATGCAGGAGTACTTGGGAGACATTTCAGATTCAAAGTCCAGCTCCAGTTGAAGACTGAAGGAAAGCAAGTTACTACACCGCCGTGCCTCACTCTGTTGCAGCCTGGAGGGCTCCCATAGGAGAGAGCCGTTCATTTGCACACTGTAGGACAACTGCAATCTACTGGGCTTTTCCTCACTATCCATCCCGCTTATTACGCTGAAAGGTGCTAAACAAGGCACTCTTGAGGCCGGTGGATTCTTCTTGTGACTATTCAGCGTGGTGTGTACACATGGTATATGTATAGGTGGACGAGCACATATACACACAGGTTTGGGCAGAAGTCACCATTCATCACTCTCTACTTCCACTTTTGAAACCAGGGTCTCTCACTGAACCTGGAGCTCACCGATTCAGGCAGGCTGCCCAGCTAGCTAGCTGGCTCTATCTATGTGCCTCCCTAATGCTGTGATTACAGCACTATCACAGCACTGTAGGAGGGCCAAGCTTTTTATGTGAGTGCTGGGGATCTGAACTGAGTCATCAAGCCAAAACTCAGTCCCTTTCCCACCAACAGAATAAACCGTCTTTGCTGGGGATGTAGCCTAGCAGCAGAACACCTGCCCAGCATGTGCAAGGCCCTGGGCTGAATACTCAGCAGTGCCAAAATAGAGAAAAAAAAAAAATATATATATATATACAATCCTTAAGTGAGCATACATGTTTGCCTTGCTATTGTTACAGAACACAGTGGTCTCCAAAATAATTTTATTATTTTAAGCTCCTAAATTATTAGTTATGTTTATTTATTTGTTTGTTTGTTTTGAGACAGATTTTCTCTGTGTAGCCCTGGATATCCTGGAACTCGCTCTGTAGACCAGGCTGGCCTTGAACTCTAAGATCAGCCTGCCTCTGCCTCCACACTGGGCTCTACTCCTAAATTATTTTTTAATTAATGGAAACACTTTTGAACAGATATTTTCTATGTAAACTGTTTGGTTGCTAACCTTCATATTACACTCTTTCCTACCTTTACTCACGTGACAAATGTCTTCTGCACATCTATGGAGTACTTGGAATGTGGGGGACAAGCAAAGCTTTCAAGGACCAGCACACGGAGAGTGAGAAGGACTACAAGCAGCAGACACGCACAATATCAATACATTGCAGGTCAGGGGCAGTGGCGCACATCTTCAATCCCAGCACTCAGCACTCAAGGAGCTAACCGCTAAGGTAAAGGAAAGGATCACAGATCTATTCCCTGCCGCCCCTTTACTCCTCCTAAATTACACCTGTTACACACACTTGGGACTCCTGCCTCTGACTGACTCTAACATTTAGGGAGGTGAAGCCCAAGGAGCTAAGAAGCGCAAAGGAAAATTGGCAGTGGCAATTTAAATAGGGTGGAGATGTGTAAGAGTCTACAGGAGTTAGATTTATCGAATGACAGCAACCCAGACACAGGGAAGCACCAATACAAACCTCAGGGCAGGTACTTGCTGGTCGAAGTATTTAGATAATGGTGGACGATACCAACAAGCAAAACATAAGATGGCAAGCCACCGGCCTCTTCTCTCTCCAGCTTCCCCTAAAAAGTACGTCTGGTGAAACAAAACAACTCACACACATTCACTTAACGAATCTCTACCTAACCGGGCCATTCCCACTGTAAAGTACACGGCCAGCACCCGTTTCTATCCTAGGCCGTGAGACCTTCAGAAGGACTCTGAAGTACACCACAAGTCCAGTGATGGACTGAGTGCCTGCCCTAGTCTTAGACTTGTAAGCCTCGCTGTTCTGTCGTTTGTTTGTTAAAAAATAAAAGAGAAATGGGGGGCTGGAAAGATGGCTTAGCAGATAAGAGCACTGGCTGCTCTTCCAGAGGACCCAGGTTCAATTCCCAGAACCTACATGGTAGCTTACAACTGTCTGTAACTCCAGTTCCAGGGGCTCTGACACCCTCACACAGACCTACAGGCAAAACACAAATGTACATAAAATACAAATAAATATTTTTTTAAAATAAATAAAATAAAAGAGAAATGTATAGAAATTTGAACCCAGGCAAGTGAATGATTCTACACTACAAGGATCTCAAAACCCTTGTTTTAGGTCATGGGTACCAAGCTCTTATTAAAATTTCTTTAATTAGTGATAATTCAAAAGTATGCTCACTGGCATTATAATATTAAGTTCCCTTCCCTCCTAGAAAGGCCAAAACACTGCTACTGCGTTGGTCTGGTTGGAACTGGAAAGTCTGCTACTCTTCTGGACACTTGTTACACACACACACACACACACACACACACACACACACACACACACACACACACGGAGGTGGGGCCTGGCTAGTGGCAGAAGGTCACTAGGGTGGACAACTGAAGTCATACCTGCCCCTTGTCCTGGATGCTTCCTGGTCTGCCACCATGTAAACTGAGTGCTGGAATTATAGGCATACCTGACCACACCCAGCATTGAAATGCACTTGAAAAAACTCAATAGCCTCCTAAAGAGTTTTGGCAAAATATATGTTATGTAATCTGAATCCATTTGAACTGGAGAGTAAAAAGAAAATTTAGAGAATCTCAACAAAAACAATTATATAAAAAACAAAACATGCATCTTTCTGTAAAAGCAAACCAAACAGGACATACGTTTATTACTTTGTTTTTTCCTCTTTAGGCTAAGAGAACAATTAGAACTCACAGCCCTGGGATGCTGAAGCAGGTGGGCTGTGAATGCTGCTTCTACAGGTTATATGTACACGGAAGGAAAACAGAGGAGAAAAAATAACAATGAGAGCTAGATTAACCTTTCATCTGCTTTGAAGGAGCGTCTCCAACTCCTGGACTCCAGCGGTTGGTCCTCCTCCCCCGTAGCTGGCACTCCAGGCATACTAACACGCTAAGCTCACCTCACTACATCACCATCTACCATCCTCCCGAGCTCACTGGGAAGCAGTGATGAGTTAAAGCCTTTCTTCTTTGACATCAACCACTAGTTTCCTGTGGGACAATGAAAATGTGCTGCATGTGTATCAATCTGACTTAGCATGACGTCAGCTTGATGTACAGGCTGCATTTTCAAGGGAATGTCAGTCCATTAGGGCATTAGGATAGAATTACTTTACCTATCCTACTGGGCCAATTAGAGATGGCCTCGGCCACAGTTCGGTTATACTTCTGACATCACCTACTATGAAAACTGGGACAGAGAACAAGCAGATGTGCTCTCCAGCTGCCACCAGTGCGAGCAGCAACTCCACTTGCAGGGCTCATTCACAAGATAGCATGGCAGCCGGCGACACAGAGATGCTGACGTCTGGGTTCCAGCCTCCCTGACTCTGGGGTGACCATAACAACGCATTCGAGCTAACAAAACTGCTGCCAAGGGGCAGCTTCTAGACACCTTCCTTTCAAAAGGTGGGCATGTACCCTTCGCTCCTTGAACCACACTGCCTGGAAGAGCTCACTTGAAGATCCAGATAGGTCACCAAGGACCTGGACCACACTTGGAAGAAAAAGAGCCTACACAATCTGGAAAGCGAAGGTGAGGGAAGTACAGACGGACAGACGGACTAGACGATCTTCCCACAACTGCAGCACTTGTACGTGAGTTAATTACACCTTAATTTTAAAAAAGAGAGAAAAAGAACCATTACAAGTACTGCACCAGGCCTAAGTGCTTCCTCAACTCTTACATTGGAAACACTTGTTTTTAACCCACTGTTCAGGCCTTCTAGCTCACAAATACTTTGTTCATATACCAAGATGTAAAGATTGAAAAAAAGTTTAAAAAATTAATAAAAATAAATATATGGCACTTTGCTCTTAATTTTTTTTAGATTCTTTGTATTTTCTGTGTTTGTTTTTATATGTGCTGAGAACAGGTAAGACACAACGATCCTGCTGTTTCTAAAGAGGGATGGGGGCTGGAGAGATGGCTCAGAGGTTAAGAGCACTGACTGTTCTTCCAGAGGTCCTGAGTTCAATTCCCAGCACCCACATGGTGGCTCACAACCATCGGTAACGAGATCTGGTGCCCTCTTCTGTGTACATAATAAATAAATAAATCTTAAAAAAAAAAAAAAAAAGGAAATTATAAAGAGGGATGGGTAGCCAGTAGACAGAGGAAGGAAACGACACCTTTGGCATTCTGAACCATTGAAGACATGACCTAGTCAAAAAACATTTTCTCAAAAGCCGTAGTTTGATGATCCCGCATGGAACTAGGCGCCGGAAGAACCACTATGTCTCAGTGTTCTACTGCTGTGAGGAGACACCATGACCACTGGAACTCTTGCAAAAGAAAGCATTTGACTGGGGCTGGCTTACGGTT